TTTTATAATTAACAGATCAGATTTTCCGATCCCATCCGATTTGTTAGGATCAGGAGGGATATCCGAATCCGGATTGCCATGTTCTAGGGCAATTGAAGCCAACACTCAATGATTCAAGTCTCAAGTGGTCCGCTCCTTGTATTCATTCCTTTGCCCTTGCAAAGTGGCAACAAGCCAACAATTTGATAGTAGCGAACACAGCTCTAGAAAAAAAAAAAGATAAAGTTTTCAATCCCAATTGCTAATTCATGTTTCATTTCTATAGAAAATAGACAGGAGGAAACGTGAATACCAAAGATGAATCTATTCTTGCTTCCTTGTCAGCTTGCTACCACTTTTCTTATTGATGGTAGTTTGAGACTGATCAACAACATTATTACAGTCATTTGTACTCTCACCAGAAGATGGTTCAGCCACTGAGATATCTGAAGTGTACTTTTTGATCCTCAATGAGATGAGAATGCTTGATACAATCCCAAGTAAGGGAAAGAGAGAGGATAATAGCTGAGATTTCTCTGAGCCAGAGGCTGAGGCTACAGCAGCACCAGCAAGACTAACAATGGACGTATTCTGTAAAATCATTGGCAAGCAGCCGAGTACTGTAGGGAGCAGAAAATCGACAAGAAATCCCACTTTTGTAGCAGCTAGAGCATAGTTGATGACATATGAGGGGATAGGTGAAAAACGAGCTAGGAGAACAAATTTCCAGCCATCTCGTTCAACTCCTCTAGATAGAAGGTGAAAGTACTGGCTTCTCTGGGCCCACTCCATTGCTGAGCTYGAATTCCTAAAAAGAAGCCTAAATAAACAAAAGGAAAACCAGTTACAAAAGGTCTTTGGCAGCAATAAGGAAAAAACACAGATGAAAGATATTATTTTCTTGAAGTTAAATGCAATAATGGCAAATAGGAAACAAAAAGAGAACAGGTGATGGCATTCCTTTGGTTTTTCTTGTCTCAGTGATTTTTTATTTCCTGAGATTACATCTTATTTTTCTTCTAAACAATTTTTATATACGGTTGAGGTGTGTGTGAGGGGTGAGCATGAGTCAGTTTGGTTCGGTTCCAAGGCAGAACCTGGAACATAATAATAATAATAATAATAATAATAATAATAATATGCTGCTTTTTCCTTTCAAAGCTTTGACTTTGTATAATAATTTATCATAGACATTCCACATTTCAAGTCCATAGAGTCATTCAATCTCAGTGAAAATAAAACATATCTATAAACCTATATACATCATCATTACTAATCTATAGCCCAACTTCACACACATAACCCATATGCCAAGTGCAAATTTCTAATTACACCCAGGCCAGTTCCACCAAGGTCAATTAAGGCTGGTTCTCTGTGTTGGTTTGGGTAGGGTAAACCCCTAGACCCTGAAACTGGCCTGGGTGGGGTYCAGTTCCAAGAATTTGGAACCAGACCCWACCCAAAAACTGATGGTTCAAGGTCGGTTCCAATTGGTACAACCAACTCATTTGCTCACCCCCGTGTATGTGTATGTGACCGCACTATATCGTCCAAAGAATTAAAAGGACGCTCACTTTATAACCTCACGAGTGATGAGTCTCTTCATCATGAGTTCGCTAGGTCCAATATCTTATGAGCTATTAAGATATATCAGTGCGCTGCAAAGCAGCATTATATAACCAAATATCTTTTTTTTTTTTTTGCGTTTTTGAAAAAGGTAATGTATATAGTATTAAATGTAAAATCAAAAGTGTACACAGTTAGATCTGTTTTGATCCCTCCTCCATATATATAATGTACTTGTTAAGAGAGGTGACAGCTATCTATAATAACAACAACAACAACAACAACAATAATAATAATAATAATAATACCCCAGATCTTTTCCTCTCTTAAAAGACCAATATATTACACTTTATTATAAGATAGCTAGCTATAATAATGCATGTAGAGCAA